TTTAATAAATTTTGGTAGCAATTTTTCTAATTTTTTAAAAATATTTTATTCATAGAAAATATTTTTCTTAATATATTTTACTGTTTTATTACAACCTACATTGTGACAATATTAGGTTACGAAATTATTTTAAGTCAAGCTAGATTTATTTAGTAAACAGACTAATTGATAACTTAATTTCTGTCTAATAATTGAAACTTTGTAATTTAATAATTCTATATATTAAATTTTTTTTTCTTATAATTATCATGTCACATTTATCATTTTTTTACATTTGTGATTAATATAGTCATTGCTTTTAACAACTGAAATGTTGTCTTTCATTCATTGAATATTTTAATTGGTAATAACTACATTGTATTAACTATATACTTAATTTATTTTATTTATTTTGAATGTATGTCTTAGCTCATTAAAAAATCTAAATTTAATTGATTGATTGATATTATTTCGAGGCTTATGATATTGGAACTTTTTACTTTTAAATAATGTCTATAAATTTCATGATAAGTATCTAAAAATTATAGTAAACTTTAATAGAAATTTCTCTTATGAAATAATGCGTTGATCTAATCGCAATCACATAGAATTATCAAAATCTATTCTTTCTATTAATAAGTTCTAATTGCATAATAGAATTTAAAAAAAAAATCGTATTCTTATAATTATTAAGAAGTTTAGGCACATGTTGTAGATATTTGTCAAATGATTGAATGATCCTTAGTATACTATTAAGGAGACTTAGGTATATATAAAATTTTGAAATAATAATAGAATTGATTTGTATGTTACATGCATACATTCACATTAGAAATGGTAATCATATATTTATATGCATCGAGATTGGATTGATAAAAGGTATCAAGTTACACACACTAGTGCAAGCACTAGATAGAAGAGAACAAGTTGGTGTAAAATCTTAGAGAATAGTTAAGGGTGTTGAGTACCTGCCAAGGCTGCACACTATTGCTGAAATATTGTGGCCAAATTTACAACACTCTAAAAATGTGTTCACTAATTCAATGACAAAGGTGTTTATGTTCTATATATAGATGATTATAGTTATATTTATTTCCTACTCTTCAATTTATGTGTAAATCTTTCCCCTTTATTTGTTTTGTAGCGTACTCATTCTCAATGATGTATACCGGAAATTAGATGTTGATGAAGTAAATGTCATGAGAATATTTTAAATAAAATATTGCCTATAAAAGTATAGTCATATTTGTTAAATCACGATCATAAATAAAATTTATAGTTATGTTTAAAAATTTAATAGACTAAATTATTTATATAAAAAATATTATTATAATTTTATATATTTGCTTAATTCTTCAATAAATATTGACTATTTTCACTGAGAAGTTGGGATGTTGCAAAAATCTTTGTTATTTCTTAGTGATTTCTTGCACTCACTTCTAATTAACGATGCCTTAAACGATAATTAAACTTTGTCATTGTCATGAAAGGGAAAAACATTGGTCCAAGTTTAGTCTAAATAAAAGTAAATTTGGCAATTTTTAAGGTTTTTAACGACAAAATCGATATAACAATTTATAATTACTTACCAAAAATAAAGTCGTTATTGTTTTTAAAACTGTTTTAAGGGTAAAAAAATTGATCAAGCTTGGAATAATTATAATAAAAATTCTAAATTTTTCTAACTCATACACGTATATTCCAATTATTAAATAAAGATATATATATTATAAAAAAAATTTAAAATATTTCTTTGGTGAACCTAAATTATAATACCTTCATCCCAAATACGCATGTTTGGTGGGATAAATTGACTAAATAACAATTTGTTTGTTTTTGTAAACAGTATTTGAAACTTTGACATATATGGTCGAGCTTTTTTCTGTACAGTGAGTTTGTTAATTTCTGAATATAGAGGTTTACTTCTGTACAAAACAAAGCTTAATCAGCATCTACCTGTGGTTCAATGTCGATTAACAGTTAATTTCTTTTGCCAATTAAAAAAGAAAAGTTAATTGGTAGACTCATAAACACGTAGCTATAGTCGCGGAGACTTTCTTTTCAAAGGTATTTATTTCTAACAAGATGACTAAAACTCTGAGAAATGTTAGTCGATATAACGTGCAACTCACATAATTTATGTTTGGAAATAGGATCCGTCAATAATTAGAAGAAAATGGAAAAATAACGAGGAAAGAATTAAGGTGATGATGTGAAATATTTGAAGAAATGTTAAAATTTAGCTTATCTTAATTTTACGAAAAAGAAAAATTGACGTGATAAATTGACTTAATAACAGCTTATTATCGTAGACAGTATAAAAGGTTCCAAAGTTTTGGCGCTTTAGATTAATGCAAGATTAGGCTAATTTCGTACGAAGCTTCGTAGACAAAACGCATCTCACATGACCAATCAAGAAATGGTTGTCGAGTTTGATTACTGCTTTAAAGTTTTGTCACGACACCAAGTCTTAAGCACAAGCAAGCTCGAGGGGCAGTGATGGTGATATCTCACATTTTTGTTGCTATCATCAACTAGTCACTCCAAAATAACGTGCTTCCGTTCCATTAAAGTGGAGAGAAATGCTATCTTTTGAATATATATCTATATATATATATACTCTTCAATACATTTTTGTGCTCACTTTATTTCTTAAAAAATAAATTGAAAATATAAGTATTTTAATTTTTTCAAAAATGTATCAATAGAAAAGATTGCATTCATTGTGCCACTACTAAACTAGTATCTCTCTCTTTTAGGGCTGTGATTTGTGAACTAGTATTAATTTCTCTTAAAGGGAAATAGGAAACAGTTCGAGGGATTAAAGTAAATTAGAGACCCAATGAAAGTGCCAAGTGGCCCACCACAATTTTCTTGGAAGGTTCATGGGAAGGAGGGTTCTCATTGTGGGTACTTCATGTGAACCCGAAACAAAGAAAGCGATCCACTTAAGTGCGAATAGCTTTCAAGAATAACAACAAAGGAAACAACATGGCATGCAAGATAAAGGCTAAGACTTGAACTTACGAAACCATTACGTCGTTTGGTACGAAACATCATAGAATTAATATCTTGTGAAAGTAATAATGTTGGTGAATCATTGACATCCATTTGAAAAAACAATAGTTGTTTTTCCATGCATGCAACGCCTTGTTAGAAAATGTATTTTTGTCCCCGTTGTTATCGCGTGTGCATGGGAAAACCCGTTTCATTTCCCTTGCATTTTTTTGTATTCTAAACAATGTTTTAGCGGATGACAAATTATGAAATTTAACTATTCTGATGTATGCTGCTTCTTATTCCCTTTCAGAGGGATCCTAGTTTTAGATTTCATCATGTTAGTGAGTATACCATCTAAACTTCCATTGAAGCTTAAAAAATTTATTTGGATATCGTGTTTGTATTTAAGGATATCTTTCAAATTTGTTGAAATTATACGAACATCCCTTCGATCCATTTCCAAAATCTGCAAATCTCTCTATTTAGAAATATTTTTTCAAGCAACTTAAAAAGATAATTAGCAGATCATGAAACCAAGTATAGTTGGTCTTCTATTTTAGTTAAGGTCAGAAATCATAGCCACAAATACTTCAATGTATCTCTAACACAGATACATAAATGTATATGTTTGGAAAGATCACTACTGTAACTAGTCTTAATTATTTTCTTACTATTAGAGCTAACTACTATCCTTAACAAAATGTATAGGAAATGGTAACACTAGCAATAATTCAAACTTCCAAAAAAGATAGACATACATAAGTTTTAGAAAAAAGAGAATCAATGCAATTTTCACAAAATAGATATTTTTGTAGTATGGGGAAAGAAAAACCACAACTCTAGGCACTACAAATATTATGGCCACGCAAAATCAAAATGATTTGATGTCAATGATATAGCTAATTAAGCTAAGCTTGCTCATCACATACCATAATTAGATGTAGCATCCCGATGTTAGGCAGTGATTTAGCTTATTAATTTTGTGAATATTTATGCCAAAAATCGACACTGAAGAGAGCATAATTTGTTGCCTATAATTGCGACAAAAGCTGTCTACCTCCTCTCACACATTGCCTAATTTGATGAGAGTACTAAAACTCGACACTGATGAAGAAATATCCTCTCACAAAACTTGAAATGGCAGGCTCCTATTAATGATAATTTGATGTAACTCAGGCCTTGATATAGCTACGTGTCCCTTCCCGTTTTTATTGTTTGCACTATCCATTAAAAACATGCGCCACATGGGTGGGTGACCTCAAACGCGTTCCACATCTTTTAGGCTCATCCCCATCTGCCCCTCATGCCCAAGAATCACCATCTATTCCCACCAAACACATACCTCCACCCACATACATACTCTCTTCTTTCAAGCAACAATAAAAATACAGAGACCATTTTGAAATTTCTATCACCAAAAGTAAAGTCAGAACAATATTTTTATTTTTATGTTATCTTAAATTAAATTAATATTAGTATTCGTGTTTTTTTTCTCTTTTAAAGCATACAAGAGAGAGAGAAAGTGGGGGGGAGAGAGGACCCATGCAATCAAATGCTAAAATCACCTAAAAAAATTAGGATATCCTCATCTACTATGGTTTTGGTTTTTTGGTAGACCCAACCGGTAGGTACTTAACAAGGAATAGCCACACATGTATGATGATATTGTGTGAGTGAGAGAGAGAGAGAGAGAGAGAGAGAGAGAAAAGGGCATCTGCAGGTTGATATTGGAAACAAAAACTGGGTTTAGTACAGCTATATAGCTTCCATAGAGGAGACAGCTTGACGGCTTGGGATTCCAATAAATGTTCCTATAGCTAGTTACAAATTAAGATTGAAGTCAATTTTTTTATTATATAGGTTACATTAATAATTTACATGATCCCTTCATTTTTCCGGAAAAATTCCAGGGCCAGACAAAAGGAAAATAATTCAATGCCCCAAAATGAATGTGTATAGGCCTGAACACCCGTGCTAAGCTGCCACAACACTCTCAGACCCAAACAGGTTCTATTTCCGGGAAAATCCAAATAGAGGGGTCCAATTTCCCCTTCTACGGTTTACCATAACTAAATTTTACAGCAGTGAAACGAAAGCTGAACAGATCATAAAGTAGGGGACATTGTGCAGAATTCCCTTTGCTAGTAGTACCCAAATGCCCAATAATAATTAACATTCATCCGCTAGAAAATACTATATTACAACACATGTAGAAAATTAAGGGTAATTAACATAGATGCTTTAAATCACCGTTCGTACTAATAACACAAGATTAAAGGTTTCAAATTAAATTTGGGACAAAGTTACAAGTGGAAGAAGTTCACTATATATTATTGTTGACGCTCCTCCACTAATTTCTTGCAAACATTAGCCATGCAAATTAAACTGCTCCAACATGCACTACCCGCTTGAGAAAAACAGTGAGCTTGAAGTTGTTGAAGGGCTCGTGCTTTGGTATGGCCTTTGCCGGAAGTAATCCGGCGGCGACACTGCCACCGTCACCGACGACGACGACTGAGCTCCAGAGTCCGGTGGGGACCCTGCCAAAATATAATAAAAATTTGTCGCATGAGATATTGAAAGACAAAACCTTAAAATGAGAATTAAGTAATGCCTAAGCCAATATAATTGAACTAAATGTTTAGATAGTTTGCATGAAATCATACGTTCCAATCTATTGTAAAAAAAAATTAATATAATCGAAGATATTTCGGCTCAAAATGAATAATTAATGATAAGAATTAATAATTAAACATACTAAGAAAGATGGGCCGTACTTGCAACATTATCCAAAGAAGGCTGAGATTTCGGGATTTCTTGAGTTGGCTGCTGAGTTTTTCTTCGGCGGCGATTATGATCTGCCAATCTCTTCCTGCAGCTGCGTTTTCCGTTATCAAACTCAGAAAGAAGATGGAACCTGCACGTCAAAATCAAATAACAAGAACAATAATTAAATAAACATAGCACCTAAAAAAATAATAATATTTAAATTAGTTTCATGATTCAATGCCGCGGATTTGAATGGTACTAACTAAAAGGAGCAAAACGATGCGGTACGTAAGTAGTAAAACTGAAAGTTGAGTGATTGCAAACAAGAAACATGTTAGGGACGCAAATGCCCTCGGGATTTCCCCATGTACGATCAACTCAATCATTGTCAACACTCCCCCCAAGGGCACTATCGTCTTTTCGATCCCCTCCTTCGTAGCCTCCAACCCCATTGGGAGAACCAAGAAAACAAAAACCAAAATGGAAAAGAACCACGTCTTGTATGCTTAATGCATGCTTCCCCATAATTTTGTTTATTTTTGGTCAATTTTTCAGAAAATCTTTTTACAAAATATTATATTTTCTCGGAAATTAATGTTGACTGAAAAATACACATCCAAATCAAGGATCTTTCAGCATTTTCAAAACCTTTTCAATTTCATAAACTTTTTTTAATTAAACTTGAATTAAAACTTATCAACAAAACTGCACTACTATAAGAAGCAAAGGCAGAAGAACAGTAGAAAGAGGGTTTGAAAGGACGGAAATGCCCCTCGGGTTTTGCCCGTGTACTTGGGGGAGCTGAGCTCAATGATTGGGTCTGAGTGGGGGCATTGATGTCATTCCAAGGGTAACAACAACCACCACAACCTGCTGCATTGCTGGCAGAATCGCTGAGTCAACCCGGCGGCGATGACCGTGGCGGCCTTGGAGTGATACTCACACACCTTGTGGCGGCGGTGGTAGTGCTTCGCCTGCGACAGATCAGCATTGCATCCCTCGGCCTGGCACCGCGGTGAGTTCGACGCGGTCGAACCGGGTTCGGCCGGTCTAGACCGACGGTAGAGTCGGCTCACGAAGTCATCCTCGGAGGATGAGAAGTAAGTTCGTCCTCCCAGGTTGAGGCCAATTCGTGAGCCGACAAAGTCCATGGGCCGACCGACTTCCTCGGATTTAGGCACGAGGAGAAGGCCCGGCCCAGGTCCAGGCCCACATGTGGCTGCGTTGACGTGAGGCAGCGGGTCAAGGGAGAGCACGGAAGGGGGTGGGGGTTGGGGAGGGGGGTAGGAGGTGGAGGACGCGCCGTGGAAGGCGCGTGGATCGAAAAAGGGGTGGTGGTGGTGGTGAAGGTGTTGGTGAGGTTGTGGGTTGAAGTGGTGGTTGGTGAAATCGACGGTGTTTGTGTGGGCGGTAGTGTGCGTGGGCCCATGTAGGAAGTGGTCGGGCAAGAGGGTGTGAGAAGCGTAGTGGTCGAAGATTTGACGGTGGGTTTGGTCGGCGGCTGCGGCGGCGCCATCTTCATTTCCGGTGAGCATTATCGTTGATGGGTTTCCCCATTCGTATTCCAACATAGTTTCTGGTAAAAAATGAAAATCAACTTAGGTATGTGAGTGAATGAGTAAGAATACCGAGAAAAAGAGATTTTTTTTTTCTTCTTTTTTAAGGTTTCGGTGATGATTGTTGTTGTGGGTTTTGAAGGGTTTATGGAGAAGTGTCGTACCTGTGGGAGTGTTGAAACTGAGTGAAGTGAAGTAGTAGGAATTGATTGGAGAGATGAAAACCCTAATTTGGAGAAGTTAAGCTTGGCTTTCCATTTTCTTCTTTCTTCCACACTCCAATGGCGTGTAAGTTAAGTCTTTTTTTCTTTTTAAATTTTTTTCCCCTCTCTCTCTCTCTCTCTCTCTCTCTGTTTGAGTCTTCCTTTCCCTCTTGCTAGATGGATGTGCGCTTAAAAGATCTCACTTTCACCCTCAAAAAGCTGAACCCTTTTGTCCCCTTCTCCATCTCTCTCTACCAATAAAAGTTACTCTCGCTCCTTAATTATCTGTCTCTCTCTCTCTCACTAGGTGAGTGTGTGCGTTTGTGTGTGTTGGATGTGTGGGTGTGGGTATGTGTGTGACTGTGAGTTTGAGTTTTGAGGGAAACTGAGTTTATGAGGCGGCTTGTGCAGACAGTGGGTAATTGGTGGGTGATCTGTACTGGGATATGTTACAAGTTGAATGGAAATTACTATTTTATCCAATGAAAAATAATATTTTTACATTTTTTTAAGAAAATGAGTAATTGAAATGTAATTACTCTCAAGATATAAAAAAAATAAGAAAAAAAGAGAAAAAAAGGAAAAAATACAAGTGATATAATTGAAATAAAAGGAGAAAATAATGTAGAAAATGGAGGTGTGGAAAAATTAGAATTCTTTAAAATGTGTGTCGCTTTGTATTTAATAAAATGATGTGCGAGCATCGTTTTCCTTTTCATGGATACATATGTACATATTTCTAAGCAAGAGATTTTTCTACAGTCCAATGAATTACCCTGGGTTAGTGGCAAATAAGTTAGAGGAAGAAGCAGCATCAATGTTTGGTAGCAGCAGTAATTAATTAGCAATGTGATAACTAGACAAACTAATAAAACAAAAGGCGATTAACTCAATTGTGAAATGAACAAAATGATGAGAAGCTACAATGGATACATCGATAGATGGAGAAGGAGGGGAAAGAAGGGGTTAATAATCTGAAGCAGTGTGACATTAAATTTATGGACCCACGATCTGTTTTGAGTTTGGTCTGCTTGATCAGTGGTGCCCAGACTCAGATGATCGTCATGATTAATTCATATATGGCTAGGTGGATTTTATGCTTGCTTAATTGAATTTTCGCTTTCTTGCTTTTAGAAACGCACCCCCTTTATTTCATTTTTGAACATTTGAAAGGGACTCTTTAGAGCAAGTGCAACTGCATATGTTTCATTATTTCAGTGTAAATGCATGGTGTTTTTACATTAAAGTTTCAAGCCATGTGATTGTTCTTCTTAACAACCTTTATACATGAGCATTAGGGGACTTCATAAATTCATTTATAACTATCACAAATCTATCTTAATGGTTATTTAGTTTGATTTCTAAAATAATTCAACTTGAAATTCAAGTTTAATTAAACGAAGTAAAGTTTGAAACCTTATAATTAATTGTTCTAATTAAACAAAGTTTACAAGTCATAAACTCGATCAGTTTAGTTTTAGTCCTAGAGCTCTGAATTTAACACTATTTACTTCATTTCAAGTGGTTTTAATTTTAGTTCACCAAAGAATTTTAAGCTGAGTAAAAACAAAAGAGAAAAGCTGTCAGTGCATAAATCAGATCCTACTTGATTTCTTAAATATCAACAGCTTTATAGACTACACGTACTGTGAAACATAGAGCCTTTCTTTATCTTGCAATATACTGTAAGAACTAATTTGCTTTCGAATTAATCACCATTAAAAGCGACCGACTTTTCAACAAAAGAATTAATATTTTAAGGTAAGGAAAATTGTAAATCTATTATATTTAAGCACGAGATTTTCTTTTGTCCTTTTTTTCAAAACCCCATGTGTTATATTGTTTGTCAATATTTTCTCATTGGATAATTAAGAAAAAGAGATAAAAAAATGAAGAAAACTTAACTAATTTTAAAAATTCACAATCCTGGAAAAAAAATATCAACTTTAAAATAAATATAAATTGGTTTTGAGATTCAATAAATACTGATCATATTTATATATATCCGAGAAGAATGTTAACCAAATTAATTATGTATGCACAAACTCCAACGAGAATAGGCATAGGAGCAGAATGGGGTTGGTTGACTTACAGTTTACCTTGGAGGGTTAAGTATATTGGGCAGTAATTATCTGAGCACTTGATTTTGTACAAAAACTAAGGCATATGTGCAGTACGAGTCAGTTGACAAATTGTGCTATAGATGGTCATGCAGATCAAGCTATCTTCAACTTGAGCAACAAACAAAATGGTATCATGTCAATATTGGAATAGTACTTAGACAAACATGCAGCAAAAATAATATTATTATTCTCTCTCACTGAACCAGCTAGCTAGCTCTTCATTTCATGTGTACTATACTACTCATTAGTTGAAGGCCATTTTTGAAGCCTGAACGGAGAACAAGGGGTGCTCACATATCTCAAAAGGAAAACAAACTGAGAAACCATATAGAGAGAGAGAGAGAGAGAGAGAGAGAGAGAGAGAGAGAGAGAGAGAAAGAGATGTTGAATGTGTCAAACAAATAGTCATTAATGGAGCAGAGGGTTTGCATCTTGTGGTGATCATGCTTCCACATTAAGAATGAAAGAGTGTCAATTCAAGACTCTAGAGAGTCAAATGTTGGGACCTTCTTTGGCCCAAATAAACTCCATGCGAACCAAATATTCAGCTGCATTTCTGAATTAATCACGTGGGCTCAATACATGAGACCCAGAGAGTTGTGCCGATTCTTCTTACCAGCTACGTTTTCCCTTCTATTTTTATAAACTCGTATAGTATATTCAAAGTAATAGTTTATTACAAAAACTAATGAATGAGCATATTATAACTTTCAACTTATATTATATAAATAATTTCTGCCCTTAAGTATATTTTCCTTAAGTATATAAATAATTTTGATCTTGTTTCTTATAAAATTATTAATTTTGTTTTAGTTTTATATTTTCAAAAATTCTGTATTTTTATTCGTATCTTCATATTAAATAGTAACGCGACTGATTAAAATATTATTAAATATTAATTTGTGTGTGTCACGTATTACTTTTGTATGAAGTTATATCGGTAAGAAAGATTGTTTTTTTTTTTAAGTATAGTGACTATAAAATTAAAAAAAATTATAAAAAGTAAAATGCAGTGTATTTTAAGATATTGAAAACAAATTTAAACCGTGATAAAAAAAATATACTAAAAAAATATTATATCAACAATTAGGCATTATACTATCAGCATTAGTATAACTTTTGAATTTAATAAAAATAAACTAATAATACAAATATTATGATTCTATTCTAAAAATATGATGCATCGTATTAGTAGATTATGTTAGTAATATAAGAGTAAACATGTACTAATAGTATATCATATTATTAGTTTAGATCTATAATATTTATATTATTATTTTAATATTATAATAAGATAAATGTTACACCAACCTAAATAATTCTAGCGTTTAACAATTTAGTATATGGTATTTCTTGGACTGATATCTTTTGTGAATAATGCAAGGATTCTAGATAACATACATTATTCTGAAAAATAATATAAAAACACTTTAATTCTTCAGAAAAAAGATAGGCATTGTTGATAATCATCTGAAAATGTAAATAAGAAGAAAAAAAGGTGTTGTTTATACCCAGTTGTTCAGTTACATCAATTTATAGTAAAAGGAAAAAATAATTAACTAACATTGATCTTTAATGCAATAAATATTTACTTTCTAAATAAAATCTTACTATTTTGAAATGTTCAAATTTAACTTTAAAGAATAATATCAACATTTTTTTATCAATTAAATATTTGAATTGACTGAAGTTGAGCAATTGACTAACCCAACCGAGCAGCTAGGTAGGTCTTTGTGGTTCAAATTAATAACTATAAAACTATTGCAGGTATACACTGATAGCTTACCCACTTGGTTTAATCAGAAGCTATTATCGATGTGTTGGATGCTATATGATTTCTTTTATCCGCATTCCATAGTTTGTAAATTTTATACAACTGTTCTTTTGTCCTTTGTATCACACAGTGTAACAAGCTATAGCATGATATAGGAGTGAAGCACTAATCCAAAGGATAAGTCACCTAATTGAAGAAACTAAAAGGCCAAATTAAAGAGACGAACAAAAAGCAAGTTAAAAGAAAAGGAAAAGGTTAAGTAAGTTAGGTTCCCTAGCCCATATTTGACAATTTCCTTTGCACTATATCTTACGTTAATGTTAATTTCCCATGAAGTTGCAAAACTTAATTATGTACCACCAATTCTATATACTATTCATTTATCTTCACACATATTTTATATGGTGAACAAATCTCTATATATACCAAACCAAATGCTGGCATTTTTGGAATATTCAGATTGGAACATTAGGTTAATAATTATGAGAATTAATTGATCTCTTAAATACACCAAATTAATGTGAGAGCTACAAAACAGTGGTGAAAAAGAGGGGTTGAAGGAAAGTAAAAAAAATAAAAGTGGTACTAGTGATAGGCTTGTGTGGAAACTAGTTATATAAGGAACCTTCCGTGGGGCGAATCACATTGATCTTACAATAATGTTTGATCACTTTGAGAAGACGGAAAATGATGCATAAGAAAATGTGTCAAAGTACGGTTTCAGTCCTGTGTTGGACATCCTAATTCACAGCAAAACAGAAAGAAAATAACCAGCTTCACAAAACCCTTTGTAATCACTAATCATGTTCATCTATCACCTTAATTTTTGTTTGCCAAACTCCTTCTAATTATTCAACTATACCTATTCTAAATCAAGTGATTTGGGGATGAAAATCCAAATCTCTCTTTTTTTTTATTTGAAAATCCAAACTCTATCCACCCTACCACTCTTTAAAGACAATTTTAAATTAATTTCAAAACTTGATATAATTATCAAATAACTGTTTTTTTTAAGTATATTAATAGGAGCTTGATTTCTATTTATGTGTGTAAAACAATATTTTGTTTACAAAGTTAAATCTTTTTTTAATGATCTTTATACTTCATAAAAAATGGTCTTTGACTCTAAGCTAAAAGTACTTTGTATACATAAAAAAAGAAAATTAAGCTATACATAATAGAGTAATTCATTAAAACTTAAAAACCAACAATCATCTCCTATAATTTGAAGAGCATTAACACATATACCTATACTATTAAACAAAAATTATACTAATAAAAACTATCTCAACACTTAAAAAAATATTATTTGCTAGTAAATGATATATCTTCAACTATTAATATTGCATGATACTGTTAAACATTTTTGTTGGTATAAAAATTTGATATACAATATTAATATATTATATTATTAATATAAACATAATACCTATATTAATAATTGAATTTACTTTAGACAAAGATTATATTAAAAAAGTAAATTTAATGCTTAATTTTTTTTTATCGTTAGTAATGTATTTTTAAAACCAGAAATAAAAGTGACAAGGGATAAGATTAACTTAGAAATCCATAGATAAATACAACGTGGGATATAGATTGATCATAAACCTAAGATGAAGTGGCCTACAAAGATAAGCAAACCCTATAACTTGCTTCCAAGGTAAAGGGCAGTGCAAGTTGGTTCCCATGGGGCACTCACAAAATGCCAAACCTGTTTAGAGATGTGAAAATGTACTTCAACTAACATCAACATTATTTGAACTCATGAGTAATAAAAATAAATAAATAAATAAATAAATAAATATATATATATATATATATATTTAAGAATCATTTTTTATATTGTTTGTGACTTCTTTATCACTTTTTTTCTTCTCCTCATTAATTTTTGGGTCGGTTATATAACTACAAATTATTCAAGTCAAAATCCTTCTCAATTATTGCTCATTCACATGTGAATTTTTTTTAACATGATCTCATTTTTTTTATTGATTTTGTTAATAATAGTTCTTAAGATTCATTTTTAGAATTGGAAATAATAAAATTATATTGAAAAAGTATTTGCTATACTTCTTAAAAAAAATCACCCTTAAAGCGCATGTCTTGCCTATGTTTGGAGTCTCATTTTTTGTTTGTTGTTTTAAAGAATTAATTATGTATAAATGAAAACTAAAAATTTTCTAATGGTAAGTAAAAATATGGTGAAATTAAAACACCAGTTGAAATATCATGTTTTATTAATAAAAGAAAATTATTTTTTCAAAATATTGATAACTTATAAAATATTAATTATTCTTGCTATTACAACTTCTTATTTTTAATAACATTTTATTTACATTCAAATATATCCATTCATGATAACCACGTATTTATGGATTAATGTGAGGCAACTTTCATATCCTCCGTCACCGATTTAATTCGATTAACATGAGATAACATGACTAATTTAAAATATTATAATTTTTTATTAATAAAATAAATAAAATATATAAAATTTAAAATTTAATTTATAACTTTTAAAAGTTAGTTTATAAAAATTAATTCTACATAACATTTAGTTTATTAAAAATTGGTTTCATTTTATTTTTAAATTTTTAATTAATTTACACTCATACAAAATAATCTTAACACTTTCTTTTAGTCACGTAACATATTTAAATTAATTACATAACTAATTTTAACAAATATCTCTAATTTAATTACTTAATTATAATTAAGCTATAATTTGTTAACTATCTTAAGTATTTTTATCAAACATGATTTTAACGACAAATAGACATTTTAACCCGATCATGAACCAATTAATGTAATCGGGTCATGATCCATCGAACGTAAGATTTAGATATGTAAATTGCTTGTTCAGACATTATTTACAGTCGGTAAGTCCTAAATATTATCATGTTATGTATAAGATATTTATTTATATTTTGAAATTTTATAATTTTTTTAGTCGACTATAATTTTTTAATTTTAAATAGTGAAAATATTATTTTGCACAAAGGAAAGATATAAAATCTTAATCTGATTCAATTAACTTGGAGACAAGTTGAGTTGAGTTATCAAGTTTACCCCAACTCACAAGTACTCCCAACCCAAAGTTTCTATGATTGTAAATATAAATTTTTCTAATGTGTTTAAAGATATTAATATATACCTAAACGATACATTTTAATGTTCTTTTAAGACACTTAATTATAAATTAAAAATATTTATAAAAATAATTAAAATTATAATACTAATTAAACTATAAAAAATCTAAGAATAATATAATTTTATAAATATAAGATGCAAATGTTGAATAATATATTCCTAAATTTAAAAGGTAAAATAGAAGAGGGTTGAGGGTAAAATGGGTGAAAAGATGAACAGTATAGGGAGGGGTGATCGTATCCACAATGTACGATGGCGATGGTATTTGGGAGCGTATCAATTATAGTTTGTTTAAATCTGAGAATCCCACTCGCACATCGAAATGAGAGATACGAACGCGCCCTAGGCGATGAACACGTGTCGGAGGGTAACCACTTGGTGGCTCAGTTGCGCAAGTACACGAAGTTTGTGCAGTGGAAATGGATGCGAATGAGAGGGCATGAGAGTCCAAAAATGTGCAGAGAGTGGCAGATGAAGAGAGAGAGAAAGTGTTTCTCTGAATAAAAGGCTGACATAGACGTTGACCCTTTGTACGGAATGTCTGCTTTTACATCAAGTTTTTTTCATGACATTTCTCATCACTATCATAACATCATTATTAAATGTTATCACTTTGGGTTTCAAGAATTCGGATGCACATCAAATAAGCCCAATTTTACATTGCTTGCTTGGGTTCAAGTGTGTGAGATTGACCCAAAACACCCACACAGATCACTAATTGTCATGACTTGGAATCCATCAGTTCTAGAATTTGCTATATCATTTTTAAAAAATTAATGTGTAAATATGTGCAAAAATTTATTTAGAAAATAGATAACTTTTTTCATATTTCTTTTAGAATCAATTTACTTGTCACAAAAATTATTGAGACAGACATGATTTTGGACAGTCAAGGTCTTAACTAAACATTCAACAAGCTCATCCATCTGGCTGTTTTCCTCTTTCTCGGAAAGTTGCACAAGAATTCCCTTTACTTTGTAATCTTTTATTGCTTCTCGCAAAACAAATTCTTTCTTGTACCCAAAATGGAAAGAAAAAATATATTTTAGAAAGAAATAACTCGTTTTTCTAATTAAGACAAATATTAATGTTTATTTTATTTAACTTTTATTATTATTATTATTGGAATTAGTTTTTAGTAATAAGAAATTTAAGAATAATCGTGATACCGAATAGAGACAAATCCTGATAGGCACTTGGACGCCCTCAGCTTCCAAAAACATGTTTCTTATGAACAAGGGAAGTGCCTCATACCTAAAAGGCTACACCAAAACTATTTAGTTCCCACATATTTTTCTTTACCCCTAAGAAACGGGTTTGGACCACCAAACCAAGAAATAAGAAATAGGAAAAGTTTGTCACCCGCTGAAACTTTGGTTGCTTGATTGGTGACTAGTCCTTCCATCAAGTGTTGGAATTATCCCAACACTCCAATTTTTACCCCATCTTTTCTACAACTTACTACCTTCCGAAACACTATGTAAGAACGGAATCCCCTTAATTTATATTGCAATCCCTTTCAAGAGTGTCCAACAAAATCTTTGACATGCAATGATACTTCCCCTGTAGAATTCTTTCTCCAAAGGGGACCACAGAGAAACGTGTGCGTAAAAAACCACACGGTTGTTGAACATCAAAGCTGTTCAAAGCCTCCGGAAAATTTTCCGTATGGGGACTTGTCCAACAATTCCGAGATCAACTTTTTTTTTTCTTGATCTCATGCATTCGTAGGAGACCATGCTATTTGAGTCAGATACATCTACAGAATATAGTGAGGCTAGTTCTTCTAACGAGTGCTTTTTCCATACATAAAATTCAAATCTAAGACACTGCTGCTCAAGGGAAATCAAGCATGTACCACTTGACATTGATGCACGGCACTTCTGGGTCAAAATTTAGTGAAAATGCATGGTGACTCCAAATAACAGTTGAAGAATTGATCAAATTGTGTGTAACAGTAATTCCATTACTAGGATTGAATGTATAAGTCACAGTATAAACATGGGAAAAGAAAACAAGAGGCATTTTACACACAATTACAGCAACACACTACATAAGAAACCTTAATGCCTCAAGAAAATTTCTTCCAGAAAACTGCCATTTTCTACCCAGTTGATGCTGCAACAAGGTTTCATGCTATATAATCAGTGCAAAACATCTTACTTTGCCTTGTCATTTAAGGTTACAAGCGATTTGAGCACTCCTGGACTTATCTTGTCAGCAAGAACACCTGTCTCTGAAATAAGGTAAGATTTTTCTTTCACAATGCTCTGTAGCCTCTTCGCCTCAAAGTCAAGCTGTGCTTGATCTGTAATTAAATTACATGGTCAGTAAAAGAAGATTCAAACCAATTGTTAAAAGAAATAAGTTTTTCAATAAAAGGACTTGGCTCTGGCTACAGTTCAAACATCGAACTGTTGCAATAACAATAATGATCAATTAAAGAACAGGAATGGAGATAATTGGTCTCATCGCAAAGTCTAAACTATAAGTTGATGCATAATAATGATCGTCCACGTTCATTCATTTGCCTATTTAAGTGCACGTTCTGTGCTCCAGAATGGAAAGTAAACTAACAGAAAAATCATCTGAAAGTACTTATGTTAACAGTTTTAGATTTAATTCTAGACTTAACAATTCAGACTTTATTCTAGACAAAAGAATCACTATTTTATGAGAAGTTACATCAATTTTCAGCATTGCAGAGGGTTTGCATCACACAAAAAAGCCACTGACCAGAATCGGGTTGAACCAATAAACAGTATGAAAGGCAATTTAAATATCTTAAGAAAAAGATTCAGAAACAAGAAAAGAGAAACAATTAATACATATAAAAAGGAAAAACATGTAAGGAAATTTGATTGCATCTGCATATTGTTTGTCATATCAAATAGGAAAATTGTTGATAACCTATACTCCAAAATAATGCATATAACCCAAGCTTGTGCTGTCATCCACTATAATATGAAAACATACAAGGAGAGGAAAAATCTTTATCCAAGTATTCCCAAATTGCATTGAAGCAAAGACGATAAAATTGCATTCATTAGGGGTTAATACCAAACATAACTGTAGAATGGCCACAAATACAGAAGTAGTAGCTAACCAAGCATTTTGCCCCAGCACATGAAAAAAGACACCCAACACAGGCAAGCACTTTCAGTGATTGTCATGCTTTCTTTATCTCATTATTTGTTTTTTAATGGTTAGAGGATAGGGTGGACAGGAATGAATGCAGAACCTGTTTCCAATATTGTATGAGCAGCATGAAATGGAACTCTGGCAAATAGATCAGTTCCTGGAAACATCATCCACGTCTGCTCAGAAGTATCATGGTTGCCACAGGTGGTGCAAACCTCTTGCACCAAAGGTCTTGAGCTGCTCCCTGCTACTCCCTTCATTATTGATTCAAAAGCAGATGGAACACTACTCTGTGTTGTCCGAGCCCTTCTCCTTAATGCAGTAAGTGCTTCTCTGTTCCCATTTCTCAATCTATCATTTTCAACCAGCTGTATTTTTACCAAAAAGGATAATTGTGTAGCCACTTAATTTTGTAGAAAAGCTATTAAACAAGAGATCCAGTAGAAGAAAAATAGTCTTTATTGACATAATGAACAGTTGATTTCTGGATTGATTCCTTGGTATTGAATCGACAAATGCTAAGGACATAGCACCGTAACATGCAAAATTACTTTTGGATTAAGTAATATGTTACTTCTTGTGCAATGTGCAACCGAACTGAATGGTCTAAGTTATGCGTCACTTTCATTGGTTCTTTGTAGTATAGGGTGTGGAGTGTGGAGTTGATGTTTGGGTTCTGGTTCAATATTTTTATATTATGTAGCACTCTCCTTACTTAAATGGGAGTGAGAATAGAGACTTAGGAATAGCAATAGACACACCCAAGAAACATATCAGAGAATTATGTTAATGGGAAAAAGACATAAAGTAGGGGAATAGAAGGAAGATGTTACTCTCCTAATGCTTATTTGGTTTCTTATTTGGTTTTCTAAGTCTTTGACAATTGAAAATTTCAAATACCTGATGACGGGCTAAGAGAAGATGTTCAGCTTCGAGTTCCAGTTCTGTTAAATTTTGTTGGAACTCTTTCATGGTCTCATCCATATTTGAGGAAAACAAAGTGCTGCAAAGTTCAAAAGAAAATTGAAGCATTAAGTTGAGTGAGGAATAATGGTATGGTTAGATTACGGAGGCACAATAACAGAGCAATTGAAGGGCATACACATCACACTTAGGGCTGTGAATGGATTGAATTGGCACAAAACCAATCCAAATCCATTTTAAATCCAATTATATGGATTGGATTTTAAACCAATACATTTTATTTTATTTTAAAACAATAGGAATAAAAAGGGGAGTAAAATAAAAAGACAAGGTACTGAAGCAAAGCAACAAAATGGGCGAAAGACTAGTATTGCAGTGGTCCAGCATATTAGTAGAATGTTGCTCATCCTAGCCTGCACATATTTGAGATAGAGATTGACATGGCTTTCCTAACTGGGTCAATGGTTCAATTAAATCATACCTCCCCAGCATGTAAAAAAACCAATTACAATCACGCCACCAGCAAAGTCTGAGATTAGACCTAGTCTTGCTTATCTGCTATCTTGAAAACATACTTCTCTCATAACTATTTTTGGGATTATGCCACCCAAGCAAAAAAACAAGGAAAGAAAGCATAACAATACAAAATAAAGAGAGATTGGAAAAGATTAGGTGCATACATGAGAGAAGAGGCGCAAAGGATGAAGAAATGAGAAAAGGATACCAAATGTTCCTTTCCTTTCTCTGTCTTTTCTTGCTTTGCTAATCTTCCTTCTATCGCAGGCTGGGCGCTTAAGCAGTGAACACAAGGGCCACGCCCACGAACAAGAAGACTCAATGTATGTGCTGTGATTCAAATTAGGGATTCAGGCCATTTTTTTTTATTTAAATAAATATTTACATCATGACAATTTTTAATTTGAATTCTAAATAAGATTAAAATTTAAAATTTAAATAGTATGATTATATTTTATAATAAATAATTGTAAGACTAAATTAATACTCAAAATAAATTAAAATTTTAAATAAAATGTCTTGTTTTTAAACTCAAAATTAGAATAAAAAATAGTACTTTTTATTATTAACAATTCTTAATCACAATTGAGGATTCTAAATTAAAATATAAATGAAAGTTTTAAAATTGAGAACTATAATTTTAAAAAAATATTTCAATTAATAAATGACATTTTTATTTATATGATAAATTAATATATTTTGAGTGAATACTAAAAGTATAAACTAAAAATAATTAAAATATAATTTAATAAATAATTTTTTTAAAATAATTCATTAAATATGTTTCAATTATTGTTAAATAATTTATATTTTAAAGAAAATATCTATTTATTATGATTAGCATCAGAATTAGAGACCAAAAACAGTTATGAGATGGACAATTTTTTTTCTCAATTTCAATGGACTGATTAGAGAAAATACTATAGATGGAATAAATTTGAGACAACTAAATTCTATAGAGACAAAAAAATGTTGAAACAGTTAATTTTTGTTTCTAATACATAAATATTTTTCTTTATTTTATTTGTTAAATTTTGTCTCTAATAAGAAAAATCATCTCAATTTCTGTTTCCAACAGAGACAAAAAAATTAATTTGATCCTATTTTCATGTCTACCATAAAATAAAATACATATTTAAATTCAATCATATTTATAACTACTAAGGGCATTTAGACATTTAAATTTATTTTTTTTATAATATGCCAAATTTCTCTAGGGAAAAAAGTGTGTTAATTTTGTGGTAAGGAATATTTTCCAAACAAGAAAACCTAGTCACTTTATACAACCTTTTTTTTAAAGGTTAATTGCATTTCACCTCTTTATGACTTATGAGTATATCCATATTTATATGACGTGATACAAGTTATCTTTGATTCCCTTAAATTATATACTTTTGACTTATAAATATCTTAGTATTATTAATTACAGTTATTTAATATATATTTTTTATATACTATCACATTACTTATCCCATTCATTATTTTTCTAAAGATGCAAACACCCCAACATTTTCCGAACTATATCACAAATTTCAGTTTACCACTTCAAACGTACAAATAGACCCTTTAGAGCATGAATATCACATGGCAAGAGAAGACTTTTTCTTCCTTTCTTGATGACACATTCCTCTAACTGTTTCAATAGTCTAATCACTAGATGCCCTTCTATTTTCCCTTCACCTCTTTTATTTAATCTTCTTTTCTTTCACCTCTTTGTCATTTATATATATATATAGCCAACTTTTTTTACTGTTAAATCTGCATTTTTCTCTGTAGAAGTTAGAACCACTCATAGTGATAATGGTGGCTACAGACCCAGTTAGAGTTTTGGTCACTGGCGCTGCTGGTAATCTTATTTTCAATACAAAATACTAATTTTATTAGTGTGGTTCAATGTTGATTTGCAATCTAACAAAATGTGAGGAATTATTATTCCAATTTTGATTTTATAGTTCACTTTCCCTCATCCTTGTTTATTTCGTGACCAAAGTTTAAAAAAGGTTCTTTTCTTTGTTGCTAAGGTGATGATTCTCTTGCACATGCATTTCGTGTGGACTTAGTTTTGGTATATGATTGCCTTGTTGTAGAGGAATGTGCATATATTCTATGATTTAAAATTGATGTTACATGCATAAACTGGTGATGAAGTATATTGTTTCTCTTGGATATTAACAGAAACTAATCATGGAGATGTTAGCATGGGAGATTGTGGACTACATAGTTTTCAAAAAAATTCTTCTTGTCTTATTTTGTCTTTTATTGTTTTGGAAGATCATTAGATACATGTTCAGTCTTCTCAAATCAGAGACGGAACCAATCACTGTATTGGTTACCGGTGCTGCAGGCATGATTAATTTTATCTTCCTCCCACTTTTCAAATCTACTCTAATGCATTGCATATTTTTATATCTTAACATTGTGCTGCAATGCTGCAATTTATATATATATACAAATATAAATCTTATATATCTCCATTCAAGTAATTTCTTATATATACAAATATAAATAGTTAAATCTTATTTAAATGATTATAACATAAATACATACACACATTTATGGTTGACTTGTATTTGATACATGAAGTTCTCAGTCGATATAGGCTGACTTTGTGATATCTTGATCATGCTTTATCATACATGTGATATTTTTTGGTCCATATAACAGGAAAAAAAATTAATGAAATGGTCAGCATAAAAAATTTAAATATCTTCTACGAATCTTTATGTAGTATTAAATTTCAAAACATGCATTGTTTTTTTTTATCTTCAATCTTATCCTACCGAATCTTAAACTTATAGAACACGTGAGAATTTATGATCACAAGAATAACTTGAAATATGGGCTGTGAAATTGAACTTCATTGGCATGCACATTTTAATTTTGATTTGGTTCAACAACAGGGCAAATTGGTTATGCTCTTGTTCCAATGATTGCAAGAGGGGCAATGCTGGGCCCAAATCAGCCTGTGATTCTGCATATGCTTGACATTGAACCAGCAGCAGAGGCCTTAAAAGGGGTGAAGATGGAACTAATTGATGCTGCTTTTCCACTTCTTAGAGGTATATTTTTAAAATTAATGTTGATCTAAGTATAATTGTTACATCATGCTTCATTTTCTTTGTTGATATCTTACACTTTTTTTTGTGCATATAAATGCAATAGGTGTTGTTGCTACTACGGATGTTGTGGAAGCTTGCAAGGATGTCAATATTGCTGTGATGGTGGGTGGATTCCCACGGAAGGAAGGAATGGAAAGAAAAGATGTGATGTCTAAAAATGTCTCAATTTACAAGGCTCAAGCTTCAGCCTTAGAGAAACATGCTGCAGCAGATTGTAAGGTTAGAAACTAGTTTATCATCCTCTTTAGAGTTAGTATGTTTTAATTTTGAAAATCATAATGGCAGCATATCACTGTTACTTGTCTGAAAATAATGTGACAATTCTAAACATATAATGGCCACATTCCTTATTATCTTTTGAATGCAGGTGGTAGTGGTTGCTAATCCAGCAAACACCAATGCTCTCATTTTGAAAGAATTTGCTCCTTCAATCCCAGAGAAAAATATTACCTGTCTTACACGACTTGATCATAATAGAGCATTAGGCCAAATCTCTGAGAGGTTAAATGTTCATGTCAGTGATGTGAAAAATGTCATCATATGGGGCAATCATTCTTCAACCCAATACCCAGATGTCAACCATGCAACCGTCACTACAAGTAGTGGACAAAAGACAGTTAGAGAATCAATTGTTGATGATAATTGGTACCTCAATTTCAATCCATCTCAATTGATTCCCTTTAATTTTGAATTTTTGGTTTAAATAAATTTTTAATCCTAAAAAATGAGTGTTTTAGTTTTGGTCGTGTAAATATTTTATTCATTTTTAGTCTCAGTTATATGTTTTTAGTCCCTAATGAGGGATTCAAACGGTCAAATCACATTGTTTTTATTCAATATAAGGAGTAAAAATAAATATTTTTACAAGAATTTGAATAAATAAATTAGTTGGATATAGTTACTGCATTATGTCACTAGCATGTTTGAGTTCTCATTTGAATCTTTTGAATCATTCTGACTCTGTTTACGGGTCAATGTGTAAAAAACTATTGAACTACTTGCTTTATGGAGTCTAAATACTTAACTAACAAACTTAAAAAAATGAAATAAAGGGCACAAAAGAATACCCCTATTCCCTGTCCATAGGAAAGTAATTTTTCTTTGATATAGCCAATTTATTAGATCTTTTATACACTTGTTAGCAAGGTAGCTTAATTCATCTTCACCAAGACATACACTACTTTAGGAATCAATGAAACTAGTCCTATAATCTGGAGCTCTGGCACGCCTCAGATGTGGAACCATTGATCCTTAACAAATTATCAAATGACATATTAAATTTCTAACCATTTAATCAACAATGTGTGTGTGTGTATAGAGATATAATAAATAAGTAATATCTAAAAGCATACACATGCAATTTCCTTGTATCCGGAAAGTAATTTTCTTTTTTATCTGACTTAGGCTAAACACTGAGTTCATCACCACTGTTCAACAACGTGGGGCTGCCATTATTAAAGCTAGAAAACTATCTAGTGCATTATCAGCAGCAAGTGCTGCTTGTGATCATATCCGTGATTGGGTTCTAGGTACTCCTAAGGTTGGTTCTCTTTATCTAAAATAAAATTTCTTCCTTTGCAACTTGTTGCTTCATTATAATTTGAGCCACCTATTTATATTTCTTTAACTTTTGTTGCATTTGTATCAACTTTAGGGAACATGGGTATCCATGGGAGTGTATTCTGATGGATCTTATGGTGTTCAACCTGGCCTCATTTACTCATTCCCAGTTACATGTGAGAAAGGAGACTGGACTATTGTACAGGGTACATTATTTTCTTTTTCTCATAAACTATGTAGGATTGAAATTTCTTTCTGTTCTTTCAAGCCTGTGGATTCAAATTGCTCTTACATTTGTGTCAAAAAATAAGTAAGATCAGTATCATGGTTTATTTGATAATGTCTATGATGCTTTTGGCAGGGCTCAAGATTGATCAATTCTCAAGGGAAAAGATGGACAAAACAGCCCAAGAACTCGTTGAGGAAAAAACATTGGCCATGTCATGCCTTAATTAACTTGTCATGTTTTCTTGGAATAACTACTCAATAATTGTGCCTCTTAAAAATAAAAAAGGAGAGACTTTCTTAAAAGAGTTTCAGTTTCTTAATTGTATGCTTACATGGAATGTAGTCCTTTGCATAGAAAACATGTGGAAGTTGATTTTTACTCACTTTTAGTTATTTGAAAAAAAAGTTAAGAGAAACACATTCTTTTAACATATTTT